GTATCAGTTTTTACCATTAGGTTTGGCCCCTGTGACTTTTTGACATGTTTCTTTTTTTTTAAGCATTTTTTTTCTGGCACCAGACTATACCAGGCTCATATTGCATTTTCCCCCTCCCTGTCTCTGGAATTGACTACTCCAAAGAGCTCTTGTTCCTTTTTTTTTTTTTTTTTTTTGGTGCTGGGGATTGAACTCAGGGCCTTGTGCATATGAGGCAAGCATTCTACCAACTGAGCTATATCCCCAGCCTTCTTATTCCTTTTACTGGGAAATATTATTTGGAAAATCAAGATCCAGTTGCTGGATATGCTCATTGCCACTGGGGTATCACTATTTCTAGGCCTGGAAGGAAGTTTTTTAACAGAATAAACATTTAAAGATCATATCCTTTTGACTGAGTAGTTCTGCTAGAAATATATACTATAGTGGCACTGGCATAAATGTGTTGATAAATATGCTCATTGTTATATTTCTGACAATGTGAAATCAGACAAACCCAAAATGTCCACCAATAGAAAATATTGGTTAGACTTAATGGAGATATGGTCATACAGTGGAATACCACAGAACTGATAAATGGTGTATCTGTGTTCTCTGAAATGGAAAGACATGTAAGAGAGTTGTATTTTTTTAAAGCAAGTTGCAAATGTGTATGATTTGATTATATGATAATATGACTTAATTTTTGCTTTGAAATTGTGTATGTGTAATTAAAATGCTTAGAAAAAAGGATTCAAGTTTACTTGACAAATTTATTTCTAATCAAATAAAACAGGTACTTTCCCTTTATTTAATATATTTTGTAATGTTTGGATAAATATTAAAACTCTACTTGTTTGTCTGTTTGTTTATTTATTTTTGCAGTACTGGGATTGAACCTACAGTGCTTTATCCTTGAGCTACTTCCCCAGACCTTTTTATTTTGTATTTTGAGACAAGGGCTCACTAAGTTGCCTTGTCCTCCAAAGCCTCCTGGATTACAAATATGCACCACTGTACCTGGCTTTAAAACTCTTTTTTTAAAAAAAGTTTCTAACTTTTCCATGAAACAGCATTCTAGTCTATTACAGTCTAGAATTATTTCTATAGTTTTTATACTGTACACAATAATTTTTTGGTAGTTATACTTCAGTTTTAATATTTTATTAATATATTTTAATATTTATGAATCAAGCGAACCACAATCTTATGATCATTTCAGTTTCCAGGAACACTTATACACATAAATGTTCTCAAGGGGAAAGAAAAGATTCTTTCATAGCTTAAAGTCTGAGCAGTACCCTCTAAGAGTTTGCATAGGATAATTGTGAAGTCATGTTTTAAGTGAGACATTTTTTGTTCCTTTGTAATTTAATATTTAATTGTAAGTACACACTTTTTATTTCTGAAAAATTTGGAATATATAAATGTGTAAAAATATTAAAGTATATAAAATTAACTTGTAATCACCACACAGCAGTAACTTGCCTAAATATTTGGTGTTCATGCTGCTAATTTTTCTGAATTCATAACACTCAAACATAGGTATAGTATAATGGAATCATATTTACTGTTATATTATTTCTTGATAGTTCTATTAAACTTTGAATTGCATTCCACTATGACAGTTTTTACCCATAAGTATTTGCCAGTTTATATATTATAGATACTTCTCTAAAATAAAACCTATATAAGATCATTGCTTAGGAAATTGCTTTAAAGAGGACTTGCCAAAATCTACTTTCAGATTTGAATATTATGTGAAAGTTTCTTAATATTTTTCCACTCTTTTCTGAAATGTTTCATTTTAAACTAAGATTTGCCCTGAGACATTAACTACCAGAGGACAATTCATCATGCTTGAAGTATTTCCAACAGATGCTATCACAAGTTTAGTATTTACTTTACTTTTGGAAGAAGGTTTTCAAAATATTGGCTAACAGACTAACTTATTTACAGAAAGGGCATAACCAAACACATTACTGGTTTGTTTTTAAGTCTGTCCCAAAATATGAGGGTTGTCTGAAATTAAACAACACTGCCTTGTATATGTATCACTGTTTGCTTTTTTAAAATCATTTTTTACTCTCATTAGTTGCATGGATATTGTTTTGGTCCCTGGTGACTTGGCCTTTCTCAGTGTTGCCTTCTTCCCTAATTTTGTAAGATGATAAAATTTCAATGCTCTACTATCTTTTTTCACGCTACCAGGTTATTATTAAATAGAAATAAACCTTATCCAACACTTTAGTTTGTTAAAAATTCTCTTAGCTCAGTCTTTCCACCTTCCATATATCACCAAAAAAAGTAAAAAAAAAAAAAGTGAAAAGTCTGAATAAAGTTTGTATTATAATTTTAGCCAAATTATCACTGTCCCTGATCATGTATAACTAGAACTTGCATGGTGGTAATATGCTTAGTTCTTTTATATTAAATTATTTCTTCAATTTATTTTAATAGAAAGACTGTAAATGACAGTGTGGTTTTGTAGGAGGGAGGCTGGAAGAGAGGAGAGTGCAGGGCCAATTTCTCTGTAGTATAGAAAAACTCCTTTAGGCTAGCTTAGAAAGATTACTTTCAGGGCTGGGGATATAGCTCAGTTGGTAGAGGGCCTGCCTCCCATGCACAAGGCCCTGGGTTCAATCCCCAGCATCACAAAAAAAAAGTATTAAAAAAAAGAAAGATTACTTTCATTCCTTTTTCTTCTTCTTTTTCCCTTCCCTTCCCTTCCCTTCCATTCCTCCCTCCCTTCCTCCCTCCCTTCCTTCCTTCCTTCCTTCCTTCCTTCCGGCAGCAGGTGGTAGAGTGAGAATTTTGGAGATGGAACTCAGGAGGGCTCACATGCTAAGTGCATGCTCTTCCACTGAGTTACACCCTCAAACCCTCTATCTTTTTTTTTTCTATACTGGAGATTGAACCCAGAGGCACCTAACTACTGAGCCATATCCCCAGACCTTTTTATTTTTTATTTAGAGACAGGGTCTCACTGAGTTGCTTAGGGTCTTGATAAATTGTCGAGGCTAGCTTTGAACTTGTGATCTTCCTGCCTCAGCCTCCTGAGATGTTGGGATTATAGGCATGGGCTACTGTACCCCAAACCCCTCTTTCTTTTTAAAAAGGAAATGACCTTTAAGGTTATAGGCATCAAGAAACATTTTACCATCTTTTGGTACTGGGGATTGAACCCAGAGACGTGTTCATGAATGTTCTACCACTGGGCTACAGTCCTGGCCCTTTTTAAGATTTTTATTTTGAGATAGGGTCTTGCTAAGTTGCTAAGGCTGGCCTTGAACTTGGAATCCTCCTGCCTCAGCCTCTGGAGTCCTTGGGATTATAGGCATGTGTCACTATGCTGGGCTTTATCATTGTTTGCATTAAACAACCTCTTAGAGTTGCTTCTTGTTGCCCAGCTGATTTGGGCCCATGAAATTGTATGTGACTAGGTTGAAACTGGTCCTCTCATGCAGTTGGAAGAGTTTTCTGACACTTGACCATCCTCCACAACTTCTCTAGTGTCAAGGGTAAAGTTTTGACTATCCTCTGCAAATTTTTATTGATGGAATTATTTTCCAAATGTAATAAACTAGTAGATAGTTGTAGGTATTTCCCTCCCTCCTCCCTGCCCCCAGCCTCCCATCACTTACAGATCTTTAAATGCTTTACAGAAGGGTGGTTTTTTTTGGTCATTTTTCAATTATCAGGATTATCTGTGGAAGTAATATATAATTTGCATATACAACTATGAAGTTTTTCTCTTACAACTGTTACCTCATGAGCTCTTTGGACTTTAATATATATATTCAGGATTCCCCATCCTTCATATTAGAGTAAATGGGAGAAAAATAAGAAAATCTTAAATAGCCTACCTTCTGTTTATCAGTAGTCTTAACCATTTGTGTTCAGACTTATACTTTTTAAAATATGAGCTAGCATTTATTCTAGTAGTAATATGAAAGCAAAAGCAAATGTGCTGATACTATTTCCCAAAATGTAGATGGTGGATATTAACTTGAGGTTGAAAGTAATTCTGTTAAACAGAACAAAAGGCATCACCTGTTATTTTAGTGATAGATCTGGACACAAATCATTCTTTCCATTATCTTTCTAATGGTACCAAAGGAGAAAATTCCAGTTAATACTAGTTGGTTAGTATGATGATTACAGATATGTGGATATTTGTTGTTATGACTTCCATTGGGATATCTAGATTAAAAATACTTGAAGGATTATTCTCACAACATAATTATATGCAAGTAGTAGTGAGTGATAATGGATGGAATAAAATCTTCAGTTTTTTTAGAATCATGGCATCATATGCCCGGACACTCCTGTGGTGTTGAAATGTAAGTTAGCAATATGAAATTAATGAAGGGTCTTATTTTACTAAATTACTGAATGATTAGTGTTTAGATGGTAACTAATATTCTACTGCATTGTCTAAAAAAGATTAATCCTCAACCACAAAACTGATCTTCAGACTTTTCATCACAAAAGGTTGGGGTTGTGGCTCAGTGGTAGAGCACTTGCCTAGCATGTGTGAGGCACTGGGTCTGATTCTCAGCATGGCATATAAATAAATGAATAAAATAAAAGGTCCCTCAACAACTAAAACAATTTTTTAAAAAAATCATCTATTTATAAATTGAGGAAAGATGAAAATATCTTTAGTTTTCTATTTAGACCAGGGCTGTGTTTATATTTGCATTGTTTAAAGGAAAATATTTACTCAAGTTTTGATGGAAACAGCTAGACATCTCCAGGTATTTAGGAGGAGGGATAGTCTGTCTTGGTAGATTGAATAACTTGCTATGGTCACATGTTGTCTTTCATCTCTGAACTTGGTATTGTCTGACAGTGGGGAATCAAAGATACAAAGAAAGATATTAAGAACAGTTTCTTATTTTTCCTTTGGTACCTGGCTTACATAGGTTACAGTGCATAGGTAATGTGAAATAGCACTTGACTTTTACAGGATTCATTTCTCATGTCACTATACTCATAAATGTTGTCTCTTACTGCAGATTGAAATCACAGAAGACATACGTGTTCCTAAAAGGAAAAGAGGAAATCTGTAAGTATGTGTTGTTCAGAAGTTCTAGATGTGTAATTGTATCAACTTTTTGAGAAAATTAAGGGATGATACTAACTGACATCTTGATACTTTTTACCTGTGATGGTGTTTAAAATGCAATACTTGGGAAAATAAAATAGGAAAATAATTTACCCTGTGCAACTTCTAAGATTTAAACCATTTGCCACTCACTTATAAAAGAGCAAGTAGTAACTAAATTCCAAATAAATTCTTTTTCTTTGAGTCATACCTAGAAAGAAGTCTCAGATTGGAATTTCAATTTTGATTGCTGAGGTGTACAAGCTATGTGTCTTTGGCAAGTTGCTTGCCTTCCCATTGCTTCAGTTTTCTCATCTGTAAAATTGGCTTGAGAGTAAACACAAAATCAGTGGTTCATTATAATTGGTGAAGTCAAATCTGTAGCAATTTATACTTGCCCCAATAAATTAAAGCTTATTTCTAATTACTGGATATTTTTCAAACTAATTTGTTTATTTCTGATCTTCATAAATTTAAGTATTGGCAATGTCCTTCACTGAGGTCTCTACTCTAGCCCATGATATGAGTAAAATAAATATAACAGAACACCTAAACTTAAAATCATAGTATTGGAGCCTTGGACTTTGAAAATTGCCTAGTCCAGTGGTTCCCAAATACTGATTTTTAGACAAGTGGCTATCTAATGAAAAAGTTTTTACTGATTTGAGGTGAAATGAGGAAAAGGACAGCAGATCATTAGTTTTTTAAAAAATCAAAACATTTTTCATTTAAAGGATTGCTGCTTCTTATAGGATATGTATTTCTAATTTTTGAGAGTAAACATGTTCTTTTTTATTTAATGAAATGATGGTGATAGTAAATGGTAGGAGTCTTTTTAAAATGTCCATATCTGGCAAAAAATTGACAGCTCTGTATCTTTTCTTTTCACTATTTTATTTTTAAAAATTTAAATTGTCTTTGATATCTTAAAATTTGAAGCCAACTTTCTCATTTTACAGATGAAGAAGTAGGCATTGAGAGGTTATTTACTTTGTTACAGGCCTTATAGCTCAATAGTTCCTGAACCAAAACCAAAACCCTATTATCTGATGCTGCCTCTCTAGTATTTCTGGTCTTTTGGGAATTGCTTTCATTTTAATAGCTTATGAATGTCAAATAGAAGATATAGTAGCTTTTATGGACCAATAACATTTTTTTTTATTTCTGAGCACAAACAAATTAAAAAGATTTAATGTTCTTATATATCTAAGCATTGGCAAAATATCTGATCAATTGTGTTTAAGAATTTACAGATAGTATCCTGCAGCACTTTGAAGAATTCTCTTCAATTATCATAGCTTTGTCTCAGCTCCCCCCAAATATGTTTCAAAATAGAAATCAATAATTCCCTTATCAGGTAAACAAATGAATATAAAGAGAGAGAACAGCATGGAATGCATTCTTGCCCCTAACATGGAGACATTAACTTTAGAAGTAATTTTCCATGGCTTCTTGTATTTGGTTTTGTATGGCTTCTTATTTGAGAATTCTTTAATTTCTGCAATGTCAGACGTACCCTTAATTAAATGTTAAGAATAAACATGGCTTTTTAAAATTATCTATTGTCTTTTGTATATGAGCCCTTCTTTTCTTTATCAGCTTCTGATATGTGAATGTTGATGTTGATGGAATGGCCATACAATTTCAATCTTCAATAGACTTATCAGTTTGAGTTCTTTCATTAGTTTCTCTTATAAGATATTTAATACTGTTGAGAAGAGAGAGATCTCCTTCAAAAACATGCTACAGTTTCATATTAGGATGGTTATGCAGCTGAATTGTAGTGACGGACTTGGCCATTTTGTAAGAAATGGCTGCAACTACATTGTTGTGTAACTTTTAGCAGTATAAATTACTGACTGGGAAATAACATTGGCAAATAGCCTACATATTAAACTGCCCTCTTCTCTAGAAAATGGGGAGGGCAGGTCATGGGGCCAAAAAAAATCTAGCTGCAAAATTATCCTTGTGACACAAAGATATTCCTGTGGGAAATACTGCTAGTTACCAGATTATTTTTGAATGTACACTTATATTTGACAGCCCTCAACTTACTTTGTTAAGCATAAAAATGGCTTTTTAAAATTATCTGTTGCCTTTGTATATGTGCATATACAATGTACAAATTGTATATTTCAGATGATAGGAGATGGATGTATAACCTGCAGATATACGCTGTGTATCTGTTACTTAAACAAAACACATTTATTATAAGTTAACTCAAAAGTTAAGTTCTGTAACCTATTTCTGATTATCTTATGTTAAAATCATAAATGTGTCTGACAGAGAAAAACACCCAGGAAATTAAAAATTTTACAGATGAAGTCAAAGTCACACTATGGAGTTGATGGGCAGTTTCATTTAGCAGCAAGGTGTAAAATCTTGAAATTGTCATTGTGTTATCTGGTTCCCTTATGTAGCATTGAGCTATTTATGTTTCTCTCCAAATACCTAAGTCCCAGAACTTGTTTTTTCTCCCTTTTTCATGATGTTTAATAAAGTTAAATTATAACATCATACTTTGTCAATAGGTGCCACTTTTCAGCAAATTTTACATTCAATGTTACTTAGACCTTGGGGGTAAATTATATACAAGTAATTCCCAATGTAAGAAATCTACATATTTAAAAAATCAATTGTATCTCAATTGCTTAAGATGAGCAGTAGATTCATAATCATATACAGTGTATGTATAGTGTGTAGGCAGCAACATTGGCTCCTAGATCTCCTCATTTCAACATGTATAGATAGGATCCAAAGTATGACAATTTATGACCTAGAAAAAACATCTGATGCATGGTAGAGATACTCTTAAGGCATTATGGGAGGGAATTCATGCTAGAGCCTGAAAGAGTATCTTCAACATGGCTGCCGAGGTGCTTTCTTTACTGGGAAAAGCTGGGAAGAAACTGGCAGGATGGAGACTGCAGGAGTTAATATCACTCCAGGTGATGAAGTAAACAGGTTTGGTTAATCTTGTGAGAGACGAACCCAAAGATCAGTCAGAGTCGTCATATGCTTTGAGTCAAAATAACTAGGCATGAGTGCTATGTGTTTCTAAAGGGCATCTATATATTCATCTCAGGTTTTTGTTTTGCTTTTTATCAGTTTTAAAATGCATTTATTATAATTACTATATAGTAATTATAATAAAAGGTTAAAGTTTGATTGTACAAATTATTTCATATTGATTAGACTTATTTATAAAAATTTTAACTTAGACTAAAGAGGGGCATCTAATATATATATTTCATGTGCTAATTCATCTTGCAGACTGGCTGATAGAGATCCTGCTAGCTACTCTTAATGCCTTTAATGTCTTAAAATATTAACATTTTCTAAGTTTAAAGTATAAAGTCAATTACATTGCAATATATCTCCTTAAGGTTTGATTTCATTTAACAAATATAACCATTCTTTTTAAACCATTCTTTTTAAACATAGTATTTGAGCTTTCTCTTGTGTATTTTAAAATCATTTGGAAGTTTTTAGTAGTGTGTGTGTGAAACAAGATTTTTATAAAAGCACTCCACCCCTTTACAAAAGCCTTGGTGATGCAACATCTATTTAGAAATATGACTTTTAAAAGCATAACAGGTATTCTTATTTTTTAAAATCTTTTGGAACTTTTGTAATTATTTTCTGGTTTAATGCTTAGTTGATACAGCTAATTCTTTTTAGAAGGGAAAATATCTCTCTTTGGTATTTAAATTAGTCTTAAAATAATGTGGGGCTTGAAAATGTGATTTCTTAAGTGAAATCATTGATTTTCAAATTGATATTTTTTAACATTTTCATAAGAGGTTAATGTCAAAGCCAGGTGTATTTGTCATTGCTGTGTTTCAACTTGACAATTGCACTGATCTTTGCTTGGTTTAGTTCATTTTCCAAATCTTTTGGAAAAGTATCTTGGCATTAATTGACTTCATTATATTAGTTTTTTCACTATTAAATTGGTGTTGTGCCACATGCTTCTGGGGGAAATGATTTCTTCTTTTAAATTCAGATTTAATTACTATGTAGTATTTGTTTACTTTGTGTACTGGAGCTTAATGTATCACTAATGCTTTTTGTGTTTAACTTTTCTCTGAGTGTTTGAATTAACTGGAATGAAATACTTATCATTAAACTTGACCATAGAACAAAAAAATTATATCTGGTTTTTCGCTAAAACTTCTAGGATTCACCAAACATCTTGAGAGCTTTTTTTTTTTTTTCCAACCTTAACCTCTGTTATTGCCGTAGGATGTAGAACAGATCAGTGTTCAATATTCGAAATTGTTGCTAGGATTTCTTCATACATAAAGTTCATTCTTATCTATTTAAATTATTCTAGTATGATCAGGATCACAGGTAGTAGAATCAGAGCCCAAATCCCTACTCACTGTACTTACTTTGGGAAATTACTTAATCTCTATGAATCTGTTATAAAGTGAGGGTATTTCTTTGAAGGATTAAATGAGATAATATATCTAAAATATATATTAGATATATCTAATATATCTAAAGGAAAGCACACTACCTCACCCATAGTAAACACTCAACAGTAGTTAAGATTATGGTTCTCATATGGCATTAAGAACTTCAACAGGAGCACTTAACTATCCCATGACTGAAGATGATGCCTTTTCCAGACAAATACATTACCGGATCTTAAGGAAGCACAACTCAGACTTCATGTTCTAACATTGGGACGGCAGTATCACTTTTTTTGTGTATGGAAGGACAGCATACCTTTGTAAAAGGCATTAATAAAAAGCACAGAGTGAAAATTGTGTAACCCTTGTGCTTTTCAATCCCGTCTTTTACCCTGTGCAATAGGTGGTTTTTCCAGCCTAGTATTTTCTGTTAAGCAACCAATAACATATTCAAATTTATTCTAACTGGTAGGATTATAAGAGCATAGTATTTCCTAGAGTGTTGGCACATAAAAATGATCTTTTTTATTTTTTAGTACCTTG